CACTGTGAGATGATGGTGACATGTTTTTTGGTAAATGTCATGTTTATACCTTAACCATATATAACAAAATCAGTCAATCAATCAGTAGTATGTCCATATCTCTCTTATGATCTTTGTTTACATGAGATTTTATTTGCCAATGCTCTAACGTATAAAGAGATGAGAAGTGATGTGTTTATGATGAAGTGCTAGGTAAGTATGACTAAACCATTAGTTTCTCCTACTTTACCAGCCTTGGTCAAGAGGACTACGGTAGCAGTGAAATGTCTTCAGCACAACATTATTCCCTACCCCTATTTTAGGTGTAATATCTGGGCTCTTCCAGTGGTTCTCAAAAGGCAGCATGGCTCCATAGCTCAACCAGACTTCACACAAGGGAAACAAAGAGGAGAGCATGATGCCCAAGAGCTTTAGGGAATTCTGATATGGCTCATTTAGGTAGAAGGTATGAAGTTGGCATGAGTGCAGGGATCCTCAGTTCGAGGAATAATGGCACAAATGTAGGCTGATAGCCATAGCACAATTACTATAGAGATATGAGATAGCTGGCAGATCCTTATGGTAAATGACAGGCTGTTCTTAGGTTGTCTACGAACAGTCCATAAACAAGACATTCTGGACTTCAAGAGACAGCTGTCACAGCTTGAAAAGTAATCATTACTCATGCCCTAAAGGAAGAATTGGCAATGGTGGAAAGGTGTTTTTGATGTTAGTCATTGTCAATATGTCAATATGAAGGCCAGCAGTCTCTGCTTTCTAACTAAAGACTCTGAGCCAGTCAGACTCAATAAAATTCCAGCACATGTAATCTATAAGCCAAACCTTGGTAATTTGTCATGAATTTAATTTTTATTGATTTGACTGATGGCAACAAACCAGTGTTTGGTACATGTGAGTTGGCTGGCAAGAGGATACATCCACTATGTGTTTATTCTTCAGTTCACAAAGCAGATTTTAGATATCTCATTGGATAAACAAACCACTAAAATAAGAAGACTCAACACATGCATAACAGCACTGCATTAATCCACAGTCACTAAACAATGTATGCTTGTTATTGAGTTCAGAAATTAAAATACCATCAAGAGAAATAGAAATAAAAATTACTTCCTATTTATTCATACCTTCAGCTAGGATTATAACTATCCTTTCTTGGGATTTAAAAAATTTCAATATCTCTATACCCAAGACAATGTTTTAAATACAATTTCTACAATTATCAACAACTGCAACTTAACATGTTTACTCAATGGAGTTAGGGCTGGAATGTGAGAAGGAAGGTTGTCTAGTTTGTTTTCTTTAGCTGTTTTTATAGGTTTTTTTAATTTTATTTTCAGTGGTTTTTAACAGTTATACAAGGAGACAGGGTGTGATCCTGGTGACATGTCCACACATGTTAAAACTGTCTTACAATTTTTACATTTTTTCTTGAATACATTTTTCTTGAATACATTTCTTGAATATGAAAAGAAAGAAAAAGGACATATCACTTAACTACTGCCAAATAACCATATTTAAGGAATATTATTATTTCTTAAAGAATCTCACTTCACTCCAAACCAGCCAAGACTAACTCTCAAAGATAGATCTTAAAATATAGCAGATTTAAAAATTATTTCTTTATGCTACCTTTATCCAGAAAATGGCTAGTGTCCAGAAACCTCAGATTGACACCTGCCTTTCCCTCTCTCCTCTTCTCATTAAGTGGATGGCAAGGCCTTTCAAAGGATTGCCCCTCAGTATGGCCTTAGACACTGTTTTTTTGAAAATGTATCTCATCACTGGAACATGGTACATTACACAGGTTTCTCACACAGTGAGACCAAAGGAGGATATTCTTAGGAAAGAACAGCATAAGCACAGTAGCTAGGTGTATCTGATTATAAATAATAATATTTATCAAAATGAGCTCCAAGAAATGGAAACAAGAGGGTTTTTTTCTTTGTCTTCTTTGTTGCTATTTTTGTTTTCATTTCCTTTTCTCTTGTTTGTTCATTTATTTGTCTTTGGAAGGGTAAGGAGGGCACAGAAATGGCGGTACAAAGGGTAAACAAATGCATCAGTGATATTCACTAGACATACCAAAAATAAACTATACAAGTCGTGGGTGGGGATAAGAGGGGAAAACGGACAAAACAAGGGAAAGGGTGACATTGTTCAAAAAGAAATGTCCTCCTGACCTGACGTATGTAGCCATAACCCCTCTGTGTATACATCACCTTTACAATAACTATAAATAAATACAATAAATAATTTTTTAAAAAACTACAGCTGGGTGCCAGTGGCTCATGCCTGTAATCCTAGCTACTCAGGAGGCTGAGATCTGAGGATCTCAGTTCAAAGCCAGCCCGGGAAGGAAAGTCCGTGAAACTCGTATCTCCAATAAACCACCAGAAAACCGGAAATGGCACTGTAGCTCAAATGGTAGAGCACTAGCCTTGAGCTGAAGAGCTGAGGGACAGTATTCAGGTCCAGAGTTTAAACCCCACAACTGACCAAAAAAAAAAAAAA